CTCATTAAGCAAAACGTAATTTCAAATAACAAGTAGTTTCCCATGGGGAGTTTTCCTTGGTTTCTGAACCTAATCTGTCAGCCACTCCAGCTAAGACATGTCACTCAGTCAGGCAGCCTACTAATCCTACCAACCTCCAAAGCTTTGCTTCCTAGAAGCTGCATATGTCTGGAGGAAGAGAAGGCGTGAGGTGAGAATGCAGGCGTTTAGGTAGATTCTCCTAGTGGATGGTGGGACTTGACAGTACAGGGAATCTCCTAGAGCCATGGCTGGAATTCAGGTATGAGTTCCACCAGGGCCAAGGACACTCCATGAGAAAAACATAGTTCTTGAAGGTTCTTGAAAGGAAATATGCTAGCTCTCTTCTCTTCTCTCCTCTCCTCCCCTCCCCTCCCCTCCCCTCCCCGGGAATGAGTGTGTGCATGCAATCACATGTATGCATGAGTCTATGTACCTGTGTGTGTGAGGGGGTACACATGCACGTGTGTAAGGACCCATGTGTTAAGGACAGAGTTTAGGTCTCTTCCTCCAGTTCTCTCCAGCTTCACCTCTGAGTCTCTCACTGGACCTGAAGTTTCTGTATCCCACTAGCTTAGCTGCCAGCATGCCAAGGAACCCTTTAGTCTCTTCTGTGCCAATGAATGCTGCGTCTTACTTATCATCTGGACACTGGGTGTCTTAGTCAGGGGTTACTATTGCTGTGAAGAGACACCACGGTCATGGCAGCTCTTACAAAGAAAACATTTAATTGAGGGGGCTCAATTACAGTTCAGAGGTTCAGTCAATTATCTCATCATGGCAGGGAGCATGCCAGCATGCAGGCAGACGTGGTGCTGGAGCTGAGACTGCTACATCTTGCAGGCAACAGGAAATCAACTAACCACCACACCGAGTGAAGCTTGAGCAAAAGACTTCAAAGCCCACCCCCATAGTGACACACTTCCAACAGAAGGTGTGGCCAAATTGAAGGTGTGCCCTCCAGCTTCAAGTTCTGGACTAAAGGCCTGTGTCAATCAGCCTCCTCCAACAAGGCCACACCTCCTAATAATGACACTCCCTATGAGCTTATGGTGGCCAAACACATTCAAACTACCACATTGGGTATCAGAACTCACGCCATGTCCCCAGCCTAGGAGATATGCCTTATGAAGTGTTGCTGTTTCTTATGAGTAGGCCGAGATATGTCTTGGGCTGTTTTCTGTTACTAATACCATATATCCACACCTGGGTAAGATTTATAAAGAGGTTTGCCCTGTTAATGGTTCTGTAAATCTAAGGCCAGGTGAAGGCCCTCTTGCAGTCTCAAGGGTCTCAGTGTATGGTATCACAGAGAGGAAGCAGATGTCTGTCTCCTTCCAAAGCCACAAATGGTCATCTCAGGGGCTCCACTCTGGTGGCCATATCTATTCTTAGGCACGTCTTCAAGTCTCTTAATCTAAACACCGAAGTCTTAACCCTGGTTGCAGCTTCTGTGAGTTGCTTTGCTGCTGAATTCAGGAAGATGAATCCAAGATGCCCTGGGCAGTGAGGCCAAGAGTCTCAGGCCACGGCAGCTCCTCAGCCTGACCACTCCCTGTGGTTGCTGGCCTCTTCGACCACGTGTGCACCCTCAGCTTGTAACCTTTTCACTCATTTCCTGCCAGACTGCAGGTATTCCAGTGGGTCAACACTTTCCTATTCTGTCATGACTTTTGCTCAACAATCTGATGTTGACTCTAACTAACAGTAGCCAATATGACCCACGGCACAGCTTGAATGCTTTGTTTTGAAATCTCGGGCAAATAACCTAGCGAATCACTTTCCAGTCCAGCCTTCCACAAGCCTCAGGATGTAGGTCCTATCACCAAGTTACTTCGTTGTGATGTTGTAACAAGGGTGATGTTGTAACAAGGGTGAGGACGACCTTTCCTCTGATTCCCAGTAGGAATCCTTTTTACCTGAGAGTCATTTCCTCCTCTCATCTTCTTGCAGACCCCTTAGAATAGCAGTTCTCAACATGTGGGTCACAACCCCCTTGGGAGGAGGTCGAAGGACGCTTTCACAGGGGTCGCATATTGGATACCCTGCATATCAGATTTTTACATTATAATTTATAACAGTTTTGAAGTAGCAACAAAAATTAATTTATGCTTGGGTGTCACCACAACATGAGAAACAACTGCATTAAAAGTTTGCTGCATTAGGAAGGTTGAACTTAAAACTTACTAGGGTCTGTTCCTCCAAATTCCTTTCTGTCTCAAGCTATCACTCAATTGTAAAGTCACTCCTACATTGTCAGGTACTTGCTACCAGAAATCCCCTCCAAACTTGGTAGGAACGTATTCCAGGTCTGTTTGCGGTTGCTAATGAGAGGCCACACACTGGGTGACTTAAAGGATTGATTTGGTTTCACTGACTCAGCAGCTAAGGGAGAACACCTGGCCAGCCTTAAGCCTGGGGACGCCCTGAGGCAGGGCCTTGTAAGGTACGGAACACCTGTGTCTCTTCTCTGGTCACCCCCTCTTCTTCAAAAGCTATGGTACCCCATCAAGGGGCTCCTCTCCAATTCTACTGGTCTCTCTGAGTTTCTACCTCTAAATGCTCACCTAGTGGTGTAAATTCCTATTCTCTTAATAGTATGCCGAGGGAATTAAACAACAGCACGTGTTTGGGACTGGGCAAACTATAGCAAAATGTATTTTTCTGTCTTCCAAGATGGATAGAGCCACCAGTGAATGACAAATACTTGGTTTCTACATAATGAATCCTGTGGTTAAAAAAAAAAAATCACAACACAATTCAAAATTTGGTCTTTGAAAAACTTGTTGAAACTAAGAAGCAATCAGGGAAACTTTGGGTGTTAACTTAGGACCAAAGAAATATAATGGGGGGCCTGGAAGGCCAAGTGGGACCTCCACACACCTACTTAGACAGCAGAGTGTTTCAGGAAAAAGGCAAGCACAGGAAATGAGCTGTGGCAAGAGGGCAGCATTTGGCTTCTCAGGACAGACCCACTCATGGTGCGCTGTTTTCCCAGAATGCAGTAGAGCGAGAGGATGCTGATATCTTCTTCTCTGCTAAGGCAATTTGCAATAAAATAAATAAAAACAAACCCACCCAATTGGGAAATAAAATTATGGTGAAGAGAAATCTGCATACATCAGGAGCGAGAACTAGATGGTTGCCAGGGTCCATATCCATTTTCCTTGTCTCTAATGGATGGCATGGTGTGCTTCACAAGGCACACCGCTCCCTCCTGCATTGACTCACTCCCCCGGCTCTAAGGGCTCCAGAAAGACCGTATTCGCGAGAGGCACCAGTGTCCCTAGCCTCATCTCCAATGTCAGACCGTTCACGGGAATCCCATGATGGAAGAAGAAAATGGCTAAAGCTGAGGTCGGACCAGAAGGGGAGCCTACCTATATCTAGAGAAAATTTCCTCAGCTTTGACAGTTGGCAGATCACCTTGCAGCAGAAGCTGGAATCAACGCGATCATATGTTAGGCAGGACCACACCCTGACCAGAGCTGCCTGGGTATGTGGTACCCCATGCTTTCTACTTAAACCTAAACCCATGCCATGATTCTGAAAATGACGGCTGGGGGTAGTTAGTGGATCTCTTTTTCTTCCTAATGTGACCACGCTGGGTACATCTTTTTCTGCCTTTCACTATTGTGTCCTTTAATTTGACATGTGGTGGATGGGTGGCCAAGCCTAGCTTGTTAGTTACCGGGGACTGGCTCTGACCATTAAAAACTGCGTTCCTCTTATGTACTGTTCAGCAGCCTCTGAGGAGACCTGGAGCTTCTATACAGACTGTGCACAGTGTGTCAGATCATGGGCCTGTCTTGCTTGGGTGCAAACAATTCTGGGTATCCATCTGGTCCTTCAACGTCAAAGAAAGTGGCTTGAAAAAGGGCCAGGGTGTGAGAGGCTTGAGTGTTATCGATGGCACTTTCCATCTCGAGAGTTAAGAGAGGACCGCCGGGTCTGGGTGCCCACTTAATACCTGCAACACTATTGCGGAAATCTCAGAAATTGCGACTTTGTAACCAGCCAATGAGCAGCGGCCAGACTCCTCCAAGGAGATACTTAATGGCAACAAAGAACGCTTCTGAGGGCGGTGGATACAACGTTCGGAAGTCAGCGGGAGTTCCAGCCTTGAGTTCAAGCCGCCTTTAAAGCCTAATGAGAATTTCTCCCTTTCCACCTCTCCGGCATTAGCACGACGGTGTCTGGGGAAACCGCTCAGAGAGGTTGCGGGGGTTGGCTGTGCGCAGACAGGACCCACAGACGAGTTGCAGGGCTCATGTCCTGGGAGCTCGGGGCTTGGAGGTTAGATCAGGAGGCTCTCCGTCCCCGCCGGCCGCGAGACACTCCGGGAATTGCAGCCCTTCCTCCGTCCCCCGCACACCCCCGGTGCAAGCCCAGCGGGAGAGCATTGCGGCTCTGGAGGTAACTGTTGCACTTTCCTGCCCTAGGCTAGGGTCCTCCTACGGAAGGCTGCGTCCGAATGGCATCACAGACCCCGCCCCTTAGAGGCGGAAGGGACGTAGGTGTCTACGCAGAGCCTGCAATGCGGCGGGCGGGCCGGAGAGGACTGACAAGCCCCCGAGGCAGGACCTAGCTCTTGCTCCGTGTTCCCAAGGACGCGCCGCCCTAGGGCTTTGTCCTTGGCGCCCCCCACCCACGCCCCGCGCCGACTTTCTGCTCAGGCGGCGCCTCGGACAGCCCAGGGAGGGGGCGGGCCCGGGTGGGGCGGGGACCTGGTGTGCTGTCGTCGCGCCTGGGCCCCTCCGGGCTACGCCGCTCCCCAGCGCTCCGGGCTGCTACGCTGGTCGGAGCCCTAGGCCGCCTCCACGGGGACCTCTGAGCACGCATGGACCTGCCCGCGCCCAGCGGGAAGCGGCCAGGCTGGAGGTGGCCGGGGCGGCGGGGCAGGGCCGAGGCAGCGGGCCCGTGAGCGCGCGCCCTGCAGGCCCGGCCGCAGCACCATGATGCCCGGCGAAACGCACCCGGCGGCGCCCGGGCCGGCCGACCTCGCGCGGTGTCAGGGTTGCGCCTCCCTGCAGCAGGTAACGACGATCCCCGGCCCACCCCCTGGGCGCTGCCCTGGGAGCGGGTGCCCTGTGCTTTGTTTAGTCACGGGCTCCAGAGCGGGTTCACCGGGTGCGATGCTGGTGGCAGGCGAATGAATGCGCCCTGCAGGGCCCCTTCCTCCTCTGCCCAGATTCGGGGTTTGCAGGGCTGAGCTGGGTGGGTGGGCGACCCTAAGTGCAGAGGGAATCATCCTTTCTGGGGTGAAGGCCTCTTCTCGCATTCCTAGTCATTTGTTACTTGAAGGCCAGGCTTTTATGTTTTATGTTGCGTGCCTAGGTCACGAGACTTCACGATTCGGGAGCTGCATTGCATTTTACACCTATCTATCAAAGTACCATCCAGCGTAGCTGTGGTTAAATAACGTCGTTAATTGTCTGATTAAAATATTCCATTAAGATGTGTGCGTCGTGGTCGTTTGTTGCAGTGGCATGCTCTGTTCTCAGTAACGGCCGCAGATGAGCTGTGGGGTTCACTGATGTAGTGGAAATTGTCCCAGTTCACCTCATTCACCTTGTCCCATTCACCTCATCCCCTTTCTGCCTCGTGTTCTAGACACCGTTCACATTCTGGTGAACCAGGTGGACACGAGTAAGATGAACGTAGGCAAGTACCACTTGACAGGATTTTAGATGTTGGGAAGAAAATAATGGACGATGTCAGGATGTCCGAGTTGGTGTTTTTGAGGCCGTGGCAGTTGTGGGTGTTGAAAAAGCAGCTTTGGAGATCGTTTTTAACAGGTGGGACGGTTTCTGTGATGAGAAAGAGCTGTGCATGTTTGATGAGCAAAGCCTGTGGAAGCCTCGTGGTTGGTGAGACGAGGTCAGAAGAGATGCAGACTACGTAGCCATCCATAGAAGCCTGCTTTTATTGTAAAGTGCAGTGTCTTTGCGCAGATTTATATATTCCAGTTCTGGGAATAGGAGATGGGGGCATATGCTGGCACTCTTGTATAAAGAAAATGAATGAATCAAGACATTTTGTAGCTAGCCCACATTGTGAGGGCATCTTAGAGTCCTCTGCTCCCATCTCAAGATTCTCAATGGCTTGCTCCTGTATCTTTAATAGACCATATTTGTTTTTTGAGCCTGTTCATTCACTCAAAGAATTTTTTTGCATCCCCTGCTGTTTTATTGCAACGTAAGAAGCAGAGGAAAATTATATTAGAATTAATATGTAGATACAAATAGAGTTAAAAATAGGAGGGAAGAGTATGCAAGGACCAGGATGGTAGTTGCTGGGATTTGTGGTCTCTGGGAAAATCATATTTGAACAAGAAAATGAGTTCTGTTGATTTCTTTGGAGACAGACATCCTAGTGGATGCCTCAAGGCCTGGAGTAGGTGCTTTCCCAGTGTGCTTAGGAAGAGCAAGTGTGGTAGTTTGAGTGTATTTGGCCCCCATAAGCTCATAGGGAGTGGCACTATTAGGAGGTGTGGCCAGATTTTGAGGCTGGAGGGCACACCTTCAATTTGGCCACACCTTCTGTTGGAAGTGTGTCACTGTGGGGGCGGGCTTTGAAGTCTTTTGCTCAAGCTTCCCTCCGTGTGGTGGTCAGTTGACTTCCTGTTGCCTGCAAGATGTAGCAGTCTCAGCTCCAGCACCATCTCTGCCTGCACACTGCCATGCTCCCTGTCATGATGATAACGGACTGAACCTCTGAAACTGTAATTGAGCCCCCTCAATTAAATGTTTTCTTTATAAGAGCTGCCATGGTCCTGGTGTTTTCTCAGAGCAATAAAAACACAAACTAAGCGTGAAAGCCAGTGAGACTGAGGGTTTAGGGTTTGCAGGGGTCATGTCAGCAAGAAGAGCCCTGGTTGTGTGAGCCTCACACACCAGTGTATGGACTTGGGCTTCTTTGAGTCACTGGAGGTTTTTGCACAGAACAGCTGTGTGAACTGTGCTTCTCTGCCCTCCTGAGAGCGGCCTCCACACACTGCCCACCAGGAGTCTCTGTCCTGTTGAATCAGCAGAGGCATTGAGACCTTCAGGTTGCTTAAGACCAACCTGGTGCCTTCCTTCTCTGACAGCCTGCATCCATTTACTGGTTCTCTTGATTCCCAAGTCTTAATCTTACCATCCTTACTGTAGGAAGTATTCTAATCTATGGCCTAGAAGCTACTGTTTCCCCTGCCCAAGGGCTCCCCCTTTCCCCTTTCTAAGACACACTTCCACTCTTGGTTTCCATAACAGCAATTAGAGGAGGGGTTCCCTTAGATCTCTATAGGCCTGGTCTGTAAACCTTTTTCCTTAAGGGGCAAGATCATAAATTATTGGGCTTTTGGGACTTGTTCACACCTTCTCAGTTGCCATTGAGGTGTGAAAGCAGCCATAGACAAGAGTAAAAGAATCCATGGCTGTGCTCCTAAGGATAGGAATGTAGCTTTTGAAAAGGCTTTTCAGGGCAATAGTGTTCCAGAGACTGCTGTGAGTTCTGTCTCTGGAACACTTATTTAATTTCCAAAGTGAGTCAGGGAAGATGGGTCTCCAGCGGACATAGAGCATTGCAGCGAGGCTCTTTGCTCATTTCCTGTATGTGTTGAGAGATGGAAGCTTTGTCTATTAACACCTCCAAGACAAAGTGTGTTGGCCAGGATGGAAGTGTGTAGTGCACGTGGAGGGCAGAGGATGGATGAGTTGATGAATAGAAGCTGGGTTTGGCTAAGGGTAAATTATCTCAATAATGTGACCTAGTGAGAGTATTACAGCACAGAGTTCATCGAAGCTCTAGGAAATGATAACAAGAAAAGGCTCTTGAGTGTGAGAAGCAAGATAGGGTGAAGCCTGTTAGGTTGGGTCTTGTGTCCGGAAGTGAAAGGTACTAAGATTTCAGTCTTTGAATAACTGTGAACCGTGATGGAAGGAAGAAAGGAAGCCAGCTGAGGAAAGAAAGGCTGTTGGAAATGTGGGGCTACAGCTTTAAAATGACATTAGACTGGGGAGTTTTAGCCATTTTCAGATGTTTGCAAAGTGTCTGAAATGTCCTAATGCACTTCTAAGGAAGTGGAAGCCAGTTCCTGGGTTTCTATGGGTGCTCAGTTCATAGTAAGAATCTTTTCATGGGAAGGGGTTAGGTAGTCCTTTGAGTCACTTAAGCTTTGAAAACCACTAGTATCTTAAGAGAATCTGGCTGCTGGGGCTGGGCTCTTGAAGAAGAAAGCATGGAATGGGGAGGGGTGGAAAGAGATACGGAGACTTAAACAGGAAGTGGGTCACTGGCCTTTTGGGAGGAGAGAGATGACTGGACATTGCTTGCTGTATGTAGCTTAAACTTGTGCAGGAGAGAAGCCTTAATAGTTTTAAACCACTGGTACTTCTGGATCCTATGGAAGAGGTCCACAGAGTCTTCTCACAGTGGCACCAACTGCAGTGCTGGTCCTTCAGTCTGCCTTGGAGCCTTATGGTAGCAGGTTCCTGTTCTGAACTGAACAGCCCTTGCTTGAGAACGTCTTCATGTCTGTTTGGCCCTTGTTTCCTTTAGAATGGAAGAAACAGTTGCCTTTTTAACCTACTCCCTCAGAAATGTATCCAAAGGCAGCCATGCTTCCTGACATCGTAAGTATCTCCTGATAGCTTCATAGGTGACTCTTGATCTTTGGATTGTAGTAGTTTGTTACTGATCTGTAGCCCAGCATCCACGTCTTCTAGAACCTCAGCAGCCACAAAAACCAATGTGGGGCCAGAATCTGATGATACTGTGTAAATTAGGCAGGCTCTGCATTGCATAGTTTTAGGTTAATTGATTGTTGGAAGTTACCACCCACCCTCACCCCCCGCCCCCCATTTTGAGCATTTGGGACTCTGCACTTTTGCGTTAGAATTGGTCTACTTATTGAAGCTACAGATACTCCCAGAGCAGGAAACTGGTCAGAAGTATTTCACTACAGGATCCTCCACATGTGGAAGCTCCAGGAGCAGAAAACATGAATTTGGAGAGATCTATCAGGGAAACCTGCAGAGAGCACCCTCCTCCCTTTGCAAAGAGCACCCCTACCTTGAGCAGTGGATCCCACCTGCACACAGGACTTGTGGGTCAGAAGGACCCAAAGGGCCCTGAACCCATCATACTCTGTTAATCTTACTATTCAGAGAGTTCAGTTCCAAACAACATAAATGAACCCAGATTTGACAAGGAGAAAAAAAAAAGTTCAGTTAGGAACATTGCAATATAAACTGGTGGGTGGTGTCTGGATGTCTGACTCTTCACAGTGACATGCCCACAGGCCTTGGGAGTAGTGCAGAAGGGGATGAAACAGATAATTTGGAAGGTTCTCCTTTCCCTCTTGGACAGTGGCTCTCAACCTTCCTAATGCTGCGACCCCTGTCCTCATGTTGTGTCGACCCCCCCCCCCATAAATTATTTTACTGCTACTTTATAACTATAATTTTGCTACTGTTAGGAATCGTAATGTAACTATCTGTGTTTTCTGTCTTAGGGGACTCCTGTGAAAAGGTTGTTTGACCACATGCCCTGTTTAGTGTTTGGGCTTTAGCTTTAGTTTTTCTTGTTGTTATGACAAAACACTTAGCAAACCAGTCTAAGGAGCATTTGTTTTGGTCATGGTTGGAGGAGATACAGTCCATGGGGAACCATGGCAACAGGAGTATGAGGCATGTGCTCACACCGCGCTAGCAGGGAGGAAGCTGGCGGTGAGTGCTAGTGCTCAGCCAGCTTGATCCTTGTCATTCCATGTGGGGCCTTAGCCCCTGGGGCGGCGCTGCTCACATTCAGAACAGGCCTTCCGCCCTCACAGACACTCTGTAGTGTGTCTCCCAGCTAGTCCAAATCGAATCAAGTTGACCTTGAAGATGAATAACAATATTTTCTCCTTTCATCCCAAATGTGATGCTTACTGTATGTTGGAGATTGCAGTGGACCGAACACTTAACGTGGCTGACCCTGCTGCCTTGTCTCCTGTTAACTGAGGCTTTTCAGTTTCCCTGCCTGAAGCATAGAGCTGAGCAAGGTGGATGGC